AGGCTAGAAGCCAAGTTGTCAACCAGACCCCTGACGTTCTCGGTTGGTTTGTAAGGTAGTCGGTGGATTTCCATGTTGCTTAATCGGCTGTACTTATCGGAGTCAGTCAGCTCTGCCTGTAATCGGCGTATTTCGGACCTCTGCTCGGTTACTGCTGATGTCAGAACGCGTACCTCACTTTTCAGATCTTTTATTTCACTAACATTGACTTTTACCTGTGCCAGCAATGAATCGCATTGCCCGGAGAACTCCAACGACTTCTCGAGGCCCCTCATCGTCTCATTTAACGCTTCGACAACCACTTGCACTCTTATGTGTAAATATTGCTTTTATTATAAATCGTTCATTTTTGCTGGAAGTTGCGTGAACCCATTAACCTTTTCTTTCAAAGGGAAGAGCGCATGCAGCTTGTCATCGATCGCACTCAGTTGGAGAGTCAGCTTGTCTTCGTTGATCATCGTACTTGTACCCACACCACCAAAGCTGCTGTTCTTTTTGTATTTCGTAGCGCGGCATTTGGGACACACCCAACTCTCCCTTTTTGCCTTGCCCATGGTATTGAACGTAGCGTCCACAACCCCCGTGCACGTTGGTGCAAGATGATAGGCACCGTGACACTCAGAACAGCTCAAAACTCGTCCGTCTGAAGGCACAGCCTTTTGACAAGCGTAGCATAAAGACGAATTGCTTGCTAGGGGGAAGCCATACCGCGTTGCGAAGCGGACATTTCTCTGTGGCCACAATAAGGAAGGGCAGCCAAAAGATCCAGTAAAGAAAACGCCGGCTCACCGAACGTAACCGTAGAGTACAAACACACCACGTTGCATAGAATCAGGAGGGCACTTAAGACCCTGCGCTGAAGTTTGCGTTGACGTTTGCGCCGAGTAGGTGTATCCAAAGGCCCGGCTGCAAGCCCAGCGCTGAAGTACCCTCAAAAGGACAAGGCCGGCCGTCGAACTAGGATGACGATCAAGATGGCGATCAAGATGGCGAGCATGGACGTGGTCGAGCGGTTGCCCCAGACGATATTGTCGGCTGCTTTATGGCGAATTCCACTGGGCGTTTAGGAGCGCGCCGGGATCAGTTGACCAGATCCGGAGTGGAGCACACGATCCGAACGGGGTCGCGCCGCCTACGGATCAAAATGGAACATGACCACTGCTCCGGGATCGGCTGACGCCTTCCCCGGGAATCCCCTTTCCGCGGCCGCCGCGGTCGTTTCGAAAACGTTTTCGCAATCGCGGCGCTAACACGTGTTCGACGCACGAGCGGCAGGAATGGCTCAGGCGCTTCTAGCAAAGATTGCCGGAATGCCCGTAGCGCGGCCAAATACCTTCTCTTCTGCTTCCTGGAAAACGAACCGGCTGTCGAGCCAAGGGGTAAGCAAGTGGCCATTACGAATTCTTCTGATGTCGAGACAATCCAGCAGCCCAGCCCGCGACGTGCTTCTTGTTTTGAGGCGAGATGGGCGAGATCAGGCGAGATGCCCCACGAGAAAGGAAGTCACGTGTGTGCGCCGAGGGGTGGCCCGGTTGGCTTCCAGTTGAATCCGCCGAAATCGTGGGAGCGACTTTTCTCGGATCCAGATCGAGATCTGGAGCGGGAGCTAATCCAAAGCGACCAGTGAAACACGTCGGTCTCGATCCCGATAGCCCAGTGAAATAGGCTCTCTCCAGAAAAGTCGATCCCGGCGCGCTCCAAAACGACCAGTGAATTCGCCATTATTTGAAAGAGCGTCGGGCCACAGATCCAGGAACTTGCTCCGCCTTGTGCAGATTGTAAGACCTCACCAATTTTCTTACATCGACGATACCCATGAACGTAAAGAGAAATATTCACTATGATCAAAAAGAACGACCAATCCCGGCGACATCTTCTTCACTTCAATAATAATAATAATAATAATAATAATAATAATAATAATAATAATTCTATCTGCTCATCCTGGAAGGAGCCCATGTGGTGGTGTGCGGGGCTAGGCAGATAGGTGAAAACCCTTAGGCAGAGCGCCTTCCAGCCCGCCGCCACATGTGAAAAAACAAAACCGATATATAAATGTACAGAATATACACACTACAGAAAGTGCGTAAAAATGGAAGAAAAGAAGGGGGAAAACATGTATCGCATTATGTCGAGGATGCCAGCTGCATCTCATACATTCTGGCAAGCTCTCGTGACTCTGCCCCGTATGACGGCAGTGGGCTGCGAACACTGAGCGTAGTAGTAAGTTGTCAGTCAATGTTTCAACTACCTCGTTTCATCAAAGGAAAGGTCAAATGAAAATCCCGTTATCCAGAATGCACCGCATCATTTCTCGCTTGCGCAGTGGACTGCGTGAATTACCGGTCGATCTTCTGTTCTCGAGGCCGAAAATATTGAAGAGAACCATACTCAAAAGGTCACAAACGCACAGTTACCCTGTCGCCTACTCCACACCTCCCAGGAACCTTTGGCTGTTCTAAACTGTACCATGGTAATCGCGCGACTGCTCGGCGTCCAGTTGCGATCCGTGGCCCCGTCCCGTCCGTGCGCGTGCGCAGACATTTGCCGAATTTTTGTCGAATTTTTGCCGAACTTTCCTTCTAAACTTCGGCATGCGAGGCACTTCGCCGAATCTGAAGTTCGGGAGATTCGGTCCACCGCTAACTTTTAAGGCGGAGGTGATAGACTCCCTAGCAATGACGCTCACGCCGGACGGGCTGCTCGGCAACGCGCGGGACCTTAAATTTCGGATTCGGACGGCGTGTGTATCACTCGAAGCGCGTTACCCCCCCCCCCCCCCCCGCGCCTGCGTTCACTCCGCTTGATGGCGACTGTGTGCGGCTGCTAATTGCAAACTATTAACCCCCTTAGCCCCCCCTTCTACCCCAGTACACGCCGCTTCGCCGCCGGCAACCCAAGCCCCGCTGTCCCCCATGCACATCACTAAATAGAGTCCCATGCGATTTAGTTCACAAATGTTTCGTCGACAACTTTCATTTCTTTTTCAGTGTTAATCGTAAAAAAGAGACGTCGTATATATCGCCAAAAGCCTCGACAAAACAAAAAATTCGAAAAAAAAAAAGTCAGTCCACACCGTGGATAAAACCCAGGTCTGCTACGTATGAGGCAGACATCTTACCACTAAGTTTCGCTACCACTTCGGAAACTCGCATTGTAACCACTGCCTATGTTCACGGTGGCAGCGCCTATTTCATTTCATTTAATTACCTCAAATCGCCCGATGGCATTACACGAGGGGAAGAAAAAAGTGCAAACACGTTGTATTACACAAAATACGCAAGAATAAGAAAATCGAAAATTGGGATTACATAAAACTATAAAAAGTAAAGGGTAACTGCTCTTTCAAATTGCATGTATAAAAACAAAATTAGCAAAATAGTTCTTCGCAAGCATTTCTAAAAAATAAAAAACAACGCAAACAGGACTGCTCAGGAGCGCGAAACACATTTGTAATAAATAAAATACGCAAAAATAAAACAAAAATTGGATTACACAAACCTAAGAAGTAAAGGATATCTACCCATTAAAATTGCATGTCTACAAACAAGTTTAGCAGAATGATTCTTCACAAGCATTTGTAAATAAAGCGCAAACAGGACTGCTCACCGCGCTTTCAGGTAGGTTATTCCACTCGCCAATAACTAGGTTTAAAGGAGATTCGAAATACATTTTTGTGCGACTTGATGGCAACCTGATTTTCTTCGACCGAGAAAAAAAATCGGTAGAGGGGTAGTAGAATCACATTTTTAAGATACGGATTATGGTAGGAAACTCGGTGGAGAAATGGGAGGCGTGATGCTTTGCGCCTAGAGCATAGTGATGTAAGGCAAGCTTTGGACTTGAGAGCTGCCACGCTTGACGAAAAACAGCAGTCTCTAAAAATGAAACGAACGGCTCTCTTTTGCACAGATTTGAGTTTCTTATTTAAGTAGTCTTCCCAGAGATTCCAAAATATTCCAGCTTATTCGACCGTCGAACGAATAAAAGACTTGTAGGCCAGCAAACATACATCAGAGGATGCCATATACAAATTTCTTCTGAAATAACCGAAGGTACGATTTGCTTTACTAACGATAGAATCGATATGCATTTTCCAATCCAGATTTTCAGTTACTGTAACACCGAGGTATTTATAATTCGTAGCCTTTTCAAGACTATAGCCGCTTATTTTGTAGCTGTTGGTAATTGTCGTTTTTTTCGTACAAAAGGTAAGAAATTTAGTTTTCGAGATATTGACGGTCATTTGCCATTTCTCACATCACGGGGATAGAGAATCTAGATCACGCTGCAGGGTGAGGCTGTCCTCTGTTGAGACGATACGCCTATATATTACGAAATCGTCCGCAAAATGTCTAATTTTCTAACATATAGAGTTAGGAAGATCATTTACATAAATTAAGAAAAGCAGCGGACCAAGGACCGATCCCCAAAGGACTCCAGATTCCACCGAAATTTCGTGAGAGAGACGTTGGACAGTGAAACGGATTGAGTTCTAAGGGAGAGAAATTCCCTGATCCAGTTACCAAGAGTCTGGTGAATGTTTAATGTTTCTATTTTTGTGTAATAGGCGTTGGTGCGGGACTCAGTCAAGCGCCTTTGTGAAGTCGACAAAAATAGCGTCCGTCTGCACCCGTGAGTGAATGTTCTCATGTATATCGGTAATGAATTCAAATACTTGAGTTTCGCAAGATCGTTTCTTTCGGATACCGTGCTGGTTCGGGAAAAAGAAGTTAGTACCTAAAAGGTAATTAGCGAGGTGGGTGTAGATCACATGTTCCAGAAGTTTGCAGGGTATGCTTGTTAGAGAAATTGGACGGTAGTTATTAGCAAGCAATAGTTCTCCAGACTTAAAGACCGGAATAACCTTCAAGGGATCAACAAAACTTTTTCACAGTTTCTTTTCCCGCTTACCGGCAAAAAAAGTGAAGATTAGAACGGCTTTCATTGGTTTTTTTATTATTATTTCGAAAACTTGTTTCCATCCACTCGGTCGTGGTTCATGAGGTTTCTTGCTCAAAAGTATATTTGGCCATGCTTGTGGTGCGCTGCGCTATTTTTCTCTCGGTGGTAGAGAGGTGGTAGCTCTGTGCTACGTTCGCTTGGAACAGCCCCAATGCCTGAAACGTGACGCCTTTCCCGTATTTTGTTAGGTGGTCGTGTTCGAAATCTCGCACGTTTAAGTACCTCCATGTTAGTTTCTTGTCGGGCGTTTCAAATAATGCTGCAACGTATCCCTCCATCAAGATGTCGGCTACCCATGGCACCACCTGTAAAGATGCAACATATTGAAGACACAGACATATGGTGTCACCCAAGTTTCAATTAAATCGTCAGCGAAGTAAGGCAAAATATGAATTGTCGCTGATTTTCCTCAAAATCAATGCAACACGTTAATATATAGATCTAAACAGGTAATACAAATTACGAGTCGCAATAATTTTTGTATTGTTAACTTGTTGTATCTTTTAAGTTTGTTCCTAGAGGATAAAGTCGGGGTCACACGGCTCATACAAAATACATTCTGCAAACACGAGTCACCGCAATATCCCTGGTTCGAATGCCGCGTCCTCAGGTTCCTCCTTGAACTTATAGCCATACGGCATTCAAAGCATGGTTCTCGCGGTGACTCGCGTTCGAATCTGTGTGCAGACAGTTTTTTGTACCATGTATAAGCAGTGTGATCCCGGCTTAGAAGATTTTACTGGCAACACTGTAAACGTGACGTTATATGTTGTATTGTGGGCGCTTTGTTCGCGGCGGGTTACCAGAAGTTCGAGTGGCGTGATATGAACGATGGGGAAGGAATCGAGCCGGCAAAACAAATAAATATGCGCAAAATGCACTTTTTCACACAGACGGGGTTTCCTACGTGCCTTTGCGCTGCCCCGGCCTAAACGACTCTTGCCCACCCCACAATGACTTACTTTCTGCATGAAAACTGGACTCCGCAGACGAGCCTCCGGTTATGCGGCAAATACGTCGAGCCTTGTTAAGACATGGTCGTACATATCACAAAATTAAGGCTGTTCGCTGTCACATGATGACATGATGACCTGAAGGTACACCTGAATCATGTAGGGAGCATATTTGCTTCGTACATGTCCAGGCAGGTTTCGTGCGCCCGATGTGTCCCTCATAAGCCTCAGACAGTGCCTGCACACTGTCCTTTGAATGATGTGTCAAGTCAGAGTCGCACTGCTCCTACATCAGACAAAAGAGAGTCTGCATAGAGATTCCAACGCGAGTCGCCGCGAGATCCGTGCATTGAATTCCGAATGGCAACGATTTCAAGGAGGAAGCTTTGCACGTGGCATTCGAACCCCGGATGTCACAGTGACTCGTATTTGCAGATTGTCTTTTGTATGAGCAGTGGGACCCAGGCTTTACACATCCAAAGCAAGTCTTCGAGAACCCACGCATATATTCGTCTATTCTACCTAAACTCTTTTGGGTAGTTCAGATCAAAATACGCCAAGAATGCGAGGGCAAAAAAGTACCTGAAGGAAACACATTTTCTGCGAGATCACAAAAGCTACGCAAAAAAAGTAGCGTTCTCTGGAAAATCGAACTCGAGAAATCTGAAAGGCGATTATGAAACCACCAGCTCTGCACCGCTATCAGCAGCCTCATAGCTAAACCTGGCGGTGGTCTTTCTGTCCTGGACAATCCGTTATAGTGCCGGGAAACATTACCGACGCGGAAAAAACCTACATATTATCCTGGTTACAAGCCTTCTTACTGCGCGTGTGCATTCAGTTGACTTTTTTTTTTGTGAGGCTAGTGTTAGACTGGGGCCGTTTTGTTTTACGCTGAGAGCTACGTGATGGTTTATTTTAGGTAGCCAGAAAGGTTGAACTATCTCCATAAAACTTTACTTCGAGGAGTTTTCCGGTCAAATGTTTATATTGTCATTGCTTATAGGAATATCATGGTAACAATATCCGAATTTTTCATACTTTACCGCACAAGTAGTTCAATTTTATACAGCACCCAAATGCTCAGAATGCACCCGCGAAACGCACACCGTTTTTTGTTGGCCAATGCGGAAGCTCTGACGCAACATCACGGCGAGAGAGCCACGGCAGCTCTTGACTGCTGACTCAGTAAAATAACTTACTCCTAAGAAAGACAATATTTATGGTATGGAGGGAAGCTCAATATTTTCTGACAACGATCTTTGTACGCATAATCCACCATGTTGATCAAAACCAGAAATAAGTCTACGTCGGCGGCTTTGACATTACCATGCCTGATGTCAAGTCACGAGACGAGAACTCATGCACACTTGCGAAATTTGGCGTCACGTTTCATATTGATGTTAATAATTTATTTAACAAATATGGGTTTTTAATTAAATAAATATCACAATTTACTATGCTTAGGCCCTCTCTACGTGACCAGCCCGAAAACTGAGTAACTTCCGGTTTTCACAGGACAATCCTTCTAAAGTTGTTTGTATGTAGACTAAACATTTCGGTTCTGATTGTCTGTGTCTTTGATAATATTTCCCCATAGAAAAAAAGGGTTCGCCGCTCATTAACATAAATTGGGAGAATATTTGCGAAAAGTTGGTTCCACGTGGCGTCTCGATGTGCAAGCAATTATAATTCTTTTATTGCGCGTTCACAGATTTGTTCTGACTTTATCACCGTCATTCCCCAGAAAGGAGGCTAAAAAAAAAAAAACGGTGTAGTTATAGACACAGTGTGATATTTGACCAACCTTTAAGCGAAATATCAACAAAAAATACCGACTCGTACGCACCACTTGTGCTTCGTTGACGTACCACTTGGCTTCGATAGTGGCTCCGGGGGGTATTTTTATATCTTGTTTAATCAGTTGTCGCGTAGTACGTGTTTCCACCCTGGTGGATCCAGAGCTTGTCTTGAGTGTTGTCGAAAATTCTGTCGAGAACTGATAAATTAGTGGCACGTTTATACTGAACTTGGCTTTAACGGTGAAATCAGCCCCCTTGGTGACGGTCCACGAGTACTCGTCTTCGTGTTCTACTTGCTCCGATATGTACGCCTTACCCTCCTCGCCAGACTGGTTGTTGTGAAATATCTGCACGTATACAGCAGACAGCTTCAAAGACTGTACTTTGGCGGCGAGGTAGACCACTGGGCCGACTTTGATCTTGACTGGTGGATACCTGCATCAAAAAAAACTGTATCGTTAAGCTGCGCTCACGCCGCGTATAAAACAATATCTGGAGACACAGTCTAAGGCTCTCTTTTTTGAATGGCGGTACTGTGACACGGGCCCTAATCAAACTGTTGGCGGACATGTTTTGCATAAGTGCGAAGCAGACATTCTTCGAGTATGCTTGAAAAGATCCCGCAGATAATTCTTTCACCATGTTTTCAGCGACCACAGCGCCCTCTGTAGCTTTAGCTTTAATCGAGCAGATTAAAGCTAAAGCTATGCAGATTAAAGCTGTAGCTTTAATCTGCATCGCGATAACACTTCAAGGCACGGCTACTGCTACCCGTCGCCGTTGATAAGATTAATCTCCGTAGTGCCGCCGACGCTATTAAAGCTAGCATAAGCGATAGTTTTTATCAGTTACTGTAATACCGTTCGTCAGATGATACTTTATTTCACAGATGGAAACCTTAATTAGTAGTAAATAATTACATTCATAATGACCGCGTGGGTGAAATGAATTGAACGCACTTTAAACTGACCGCATAAACCGGTTTCTTATCTTATCGCGCTTGAATTTACTACAGAGGTGCTCGAAGCTGGTGTATTCACCAAATGAAAGTATAAATACATAAAACCTCCGCAGTGAAACAAAAACAAAAGAAAAACTTGTTTTGTCTACGGAAAAATTATGGCTCAGCCTTTTTATCTCAAAATCATCAGCAACTCGTTGTGGGATATTCTGACGTATACTATTAATGAAAACAATTTGAAATGTAAACAAAATAGAATTTCCTTACCTATTCTTCACATAATTTAGCCTAAATAAACGGAAGGGTAACATATAATAGTTTTACTGTATATGCAAAGTATAAGGAAAACATAGGTTTTGATTTTTCTTGATTTACTCAGGTGACCCGATCTTTTCACAATTTCGGTGAAAGCTTCCACCAACTTCAGGCACCTTCTGCACTAAACCCCAGCGAAATAAGTTAGGAAACCGAATTTGGTGGTCCGTTTAAAGAGCGTGCAATCCATTTCTCCCACGCATCAATGCGATTTTTATAGCGTCCAGGAACAACATGCAATTTATGTGCTCGCTCACTCTAAAAAAATAGAAAAATAAAAAATAACGCAAAATAGTGAAGGCAAATAGAGTCCACAAATCCGACGTACTTTTACCACACACAAAAGAAAGTGCAGCAGCAAACAAAGACAACAGAAAAAGTGGTAAAGTTACCCTTCTGAAAGAAAAGTATATGAATCTACATAAGAACTGATACGAAATATCCAAAAACTGATATGCGACATATGAAACGGATGCGAAATATCCAAAAACTGATATGCGACATATGAAACTGATACGAAATACCCGAAAACGAATATGCGACATAAAAGAACTGATATACAACATATGCCAACTGATGTGCAGTATACAAGTTCATATGTTATTTAAATGACAACTTATGGAAAATTGAAATGAGAATGTAGAATATATACGCTGCTTAAACGAGAACTGATACGACGTCCACATCATGCATAATATTTTAAAGTCATATTTCTTTTTCCCACTTCTCCTACTTGTTTCTGTTTTTTGCACAATATTCGTCTTAATGTACTTGCCTGCTAGCCCATCACTCCATTTCAATACATAATTTCAGTCATATCAGTTGTTATATGTTTTCATATCCTATAAGTTTTGATATAAAAATGTGTCCGGTAAACCAATCAGAAGTAACTTCATCTAATTTATTTTCAGTATACGACGTGCCGCGCGGGGAAGTAGACACGTGGCTTGGAACCGCAGTGGTGCGGCGGCTTGATTTCTTGGCTTTCGAATAATTACGGTATGAGTGTTCATTTTATTACTAGAAGATTCATCTTTTGTGCAGTTCAAAATATTCTCAAAACATTACTGAAACAAAAATCACCATACTGGGAATATTATCGATTGCTTAGGTGGTCACCAAAAAAAATCCGTACCTTCAAAGCGATCAATATAAAAGGCGGAGGCGCAGAGCTCAGAAGCAGCTATCGGGTGTGCTCTTTTATTCATGTTTGCTGTGCCGTCAATGTGTAGGCTCTCAATGTACATGTTCAGCTGATGCTAGTGACATGAGAAATGTATCTACATGTGTGTATGGGGGCCCGAAGTGTAATGGTGGTGTGAGGACATAAAAATAATTTTTATAGCACTTGAACTGCACGGTACTTAGCGCCACCTAGCCTAGCTGAAACTGATACGGGACATATGAAACTGATATGAAATACCCAAAAGTTCTGCCATGAATATTTATCCAGTAAACATAACACAATAATAAATATATATATTTTTTCATTGGGTAATAATAGTAAGCTAAGAAAGTAGAAGCCTTGATGTATGTGGAGGCACTTTTCTTAGCACTTCGCACAGATTACAGAGCACTGTTAGAACATGTACACGTTAGTAAATTCAAGTAATTAACCACCACTACTCGTTACTTACTAAAATAGAAACTGATAACGTTACTCGGTACTGTAATTCACAAAGAACGCGTTACCCCTGACTTGAAAGTAATGCGTCATTTCCTGGTTCCTCTTAACGTGTCGTTTTTGTGAAGCAGCAGCCGGTTCCAATGCTTGCCGCCGTTAACAATTGCTCGCCTTGTAAGGCGTTCGTTGAGGGATGACTTTGGCTATACAGGCACACCTTGTGCAGATCGCTTCCGTGGCCTATGTAGAGTTTTCTGGTTACGCCAATCACAGGCGCGAGCTGGGGAGAGAACTACGCAGGGTTCTCGTGTAGTACACGTTCTGTCTCTGAAGTAACCAGAAACCGCTACGCGTTACTTCACCGCAATGAAACAACAACGTGTTAGTCGTTTCATTTTCTTAAAACTACGCCGTTACTTCATTCGCGAAAAAAAACGTATCTGCATATTTTTGCGAATATAACTTGGGTCGGAGGGCATCCTTCTCCACCCAACCAGGAGGAGTAAGGTGTGCTTATCTGGGCTTTGCTCCTGGGCGAGCGTGGGGAATATCACCGGCGTGCACATTTCGCTGGTCCACGTGGATTGTTCTGCCTGCACTCAAGATGCGTGCGAAGAGCCCGAAGAAAAAATGATTCCGTACCAAAAAGGGACATTTAGCCTTTGGATCGTAGGTTAAGGTAGCGTTTCTTTAAAACTGTAGACGAAAGTTGCCAAACAGAAGTCGACAGACTCACGCGTGATCGCCGAGATACCGCCGACTGCTTTTCGGTAAGCCTGAACGGGTGTCGCTCGCGAACCACCATCCGCAAACCCACAAAAAACGCCGTGCACCGTGACGAAGCACTTCTTGCCGATCCCTGATTGGCCCCCTCGGATCGTTAGCGTTGGTAGCAGTCGCACTCATCGTGCATCTCAAGCTTACTAAAAGAAAGATTTGAACTTAAGCTGTTTTATAGACCTTTGCAAAACTTGCCTCCTGCGCGCTTCCACCTTTGTATGCTGGGCTGTGGAATGCCTTGCGGGCATGCGCTGTTGCTTTGCCTAGCGGTATATTAGACGCTGCGTCATGCCTGCACAGCTAAGTGACTTGGCATTTTTCTCACGGGTGAGGAGCGATGCAAAGGTCTATCCACGTGCTAGAACCGGGGAAGAATAGGAGACGAGAACGCGCGGGGACATCCGGACGCCGAGCTCTGATTGGGAGGAATAGTGGGTAGACGCGAAGCTAGCCGCCTCCGTCTCTACTGCACTCGCAAAACGCGCGGAACGGCGTTTCCGTTCGAACGCGGCCGACAGTTATAGTAGTCACAAAGGCATCTGCCTAGCTTCCACTTTAGAAGAAATCTGGTCGTAAAAAAAAAGAAAAAAGGAAACGTTTAGCGTTTCTTCGGCTTGTCCATATTTTGTACCACAAAAAGTTAATTTAAGCAGCCCCTTAAGGGGTTTTCTTTATAAACCTATTCGTGTCTTTTTTTAGCTCATTTTTTGATGCGAAAGAGTCCTTCATCCCCACCTTGCCTTTCTAGTGTGCCAGGGGGCGATAGTGCTTGACGCGAAACCGTTCTTTAGGAACTAAAAGAGTTCTTGGAGATTCGAAAACCGCTTTTTGAGAACGCACATTTTTTTTTTCTTTGTGTACTCACAAATAGTTCCGACTCGGTGTTCTTACGTCCTTGCCGTGCTCTGGTCTCCTTCTTGTCACCGGTTTCGGCCCGCATTGTCGATGACAGCTTAAAGCCTGACTTCGGATGTTCTGATTGGTCCTTCGGAATTCTTATTGGTAAAATGTCGCGATCTCTTTGGCTGACGCGGGATAATCAGATGAGCGGCATTCGCCATGCCTTGAGTCTCAGGTCACTATTTTTGTATATGAGATTACGAATGTTTTCAATTAAAGCGATGTCCCTTAATTAAAATGTCTAATGTTTTTTTCAGGATAGTGTGTCTAGTTTTATAAATATCACGACTCCAAGTTTGGTTTCGGGTGTCTACGGCAAAAACCGAAACTATCTGCTGAAGAAATGGCAACACTGATCATCAGCCGCACGGTTGATGATCACTGTTGCCGTACCCGAAAACCGAAAGATTTCATTTAAATACCTACACACTAATGATGGGGCGGAGCAGACTTTTCCAGTGGGAGAGGGAGTGAAAGAGGCAGGAAGAAAAATGTGAGAGGTAAGAATGCACGAAAAATCAGAAGGATAAAACTGGCTTAGAAGGTCTAGAAGAATCCTATCTTCGCCCTTTTAGACTCCGACTAGGTGGCCCAAGCTACAACCCGTTACAGAGGGTAGAGCCATTAAAGGGGCCCTCCGGAGCTTTCTGCGATCGTCTGTTTATCTGGTTATATTGCGTAGTAAGTGCAAATTAATATGTATGCAAAGTTTTAGATTACAAAACCGTTTATTAAGCAGATGGCAGAAGAAACACATCGGGACTATTTTCTCTTGGAAGACAATCCCCCATTCCCTGCCCCTCGCTAAAACTTGACCAATCGAAAAGCTGCATCACGCGCTGAATGCGAACGTTATTATTGCAACACTTTTTAAGCTTGTTGTAAAGTATAGTTTGAGAAAAACGCAAACTGATTGTGGTGCGGGAAACATAGTCCGCAATTATCGCTCCAAAGCCAGCGAACTATGTTTTCTCCCCGCAAGCTTGTTGCTAGGGGGTGATGCGTCGGCGCGTCGGCTAGTCTGCCTCCCGGGGCGTCTGCAGGCGTGCGTTTGCGGGACACGTGTTCCTTCTTCTCGTGGATCCCGACTCCGAAGCCAGCTTTGCGAGCCTTCCACGTCAACGAGTCAAAGTTTTCCTTGTCATCTGTGGAATGCGACTGCGTATTGCAGTAGCAGCGCGACGGTGCGGTGCGACGAACGACGACTGCCGAGCACAAAGTCCGGAGAGATTCCTCCGCGGGTCGGCGGTCGGCCGCGTTGGTGGCGCACAGTGACGCCGGAATCCTTCGCTTATTGGCTGACACGTAAAGAGATGCCCCTCCCGTTTTCCGGGGTCATATCAGAAAGAGGGACGTGCCAAGGACTTTGATAGCAATTTTAATTGGGAAATCCGCCGCGCATGACCGTAATTTTATGATTTTTAGGATCCTTAGGGCCTGTAGATTGAGTTACCGCCATAAATAGACCATCGCAGAACGCTCCGGAGGGCCTCTTTAACGTTTATCCATCCACCCGGCCGCTACGTGATGTCAAAAGGGGGCTGCGGTACGTGCTACAACGGGTACAACCAACATTACTAGATTAGCTAAGTTACGGACCTGCTCATAGATGCTGCAAGCCACGAGCAGTGCCACCCCCCCCCCCCCCCCCCCTCACTCACCACGACTCGCCTGCCTTCGCTTGACGCGCCGGACGGCTGCTTTGGTAACTGCAGTGCATTCTATGCGATACGTGCGTTTCGAAGCACGGCGTCTAGATGGTGTTTCAGCTCTGCTGTATGGAACGCACAGCTGTGAGACGAAACTTTAGATGGCGCTTCGAACGACGGCAGGCGGATTGAAGTGAGTGAGGGGGGGTACCCCCTTCCGCGGGAGTTCCACAACTGAGCTAATCTAGTAACGTTGGGCACAACCAAGCGACCGCAGCTCTACTGCGACAGGACGTCACAAATGTGCTGCGCCGGTGCTCCTTGACTAAAAGCTAACGCGCTTGCCGCCAGCTAAAGAGCAGCTGGTGGCATCTTTGAAATTGGGTTTTGTGGGGTACGCGGCATCACTTTAAAGGAGCGGTGCAACGATATTCGCTTGGAATGTTTTTCACTTTGCACAAGCTTATTGGCACTAGTGCGACTCGAGGATACTCGCAGGCAACGCCACTGGCCCAGAAAGTCCTTTGTTGCGGTGTAGTTTCAAGTACAAAAGCGATCACTTTCATTTAATCTCTCCTTTGCAAAATTTGATGACGTAACATGGGGATCGCAATGCACCCCAATGACGATATTTGAATGCGGCTCATAGATTGGCCCCGAGCATGGCGTGGGCACTCGATTTGGGCTCGTGATAATTAATAGCTCGAGGAGCATTCGGTAGTGACCCGCGTCCAATCGCTGCGACGACGACAACAGCCGAGCCATAACAATGTCTGGAACTCACCGGGTGTCCTGTGCTTTGCCAACCCCAGCGCGTGACTATGATCAACACTGGCGGCATATTATCGGCTCCAGATCACGCGGCCGCTTGTTCTGGCTGCGAATTGAGGGGGTGAACGCTGCTCGTTTTCTTTAATTTTTTTCTGGGACTTCTATTGCGGCGTGGGGTTATAAACGAACGCGTGTTTCATAGGTCATTAACGTCAGGGATCCGTTCTAAGCCATACTTGCGCAAAGTACAAACAATTTTTGCATCGACCCTTTAAGGTAATATTTCGGCTGTGATCATATTCATGCTACTAAAGTGATACCAGTCACTTATCCTTCTTTCGTTTTCGACCAGAGTTATTCTTTGAGCCGTGGTCACACAGCTTATACTTCAGACAAAAGACAGCGTGCATACAGATCCAAACGCTCGTCACCGCGAATCCGTGCCTCGAATGCCGCATGGCAAAGAGTTCAAGAGTAAAACTTGGCAGGCGGCATTCGAACCAAGGTTATTGCGATGACTCGTGTTTGCAAACTGTCTTTGAAGGATGTATGAGCAGTGTGACCCGGCTTTAGTCTGTGAATTATACCATGCTGATTCGCACATGTCGCAAGGACCGTCCAAATGATCCGAGAACGTCCTTGGGTAATCTATGCAATACACTCTACAAACAAAATCGGTTTTTCAAAGGTCCTTCGACGCGTCAAGACCTCTTTCAGGTCTTCAAGAAAGTCTCCCCTCAAATACTCTCGCACTCTGACGTGCTAGAATGTCAACTGGGCGACGAAGAACTCTTTCGCAACAAAAGAGGAGCTTAAGAACCCCTTATAGATTTTTCACGAATAACTCTTTTAGGCCGTCTTTTAAATAACTTCTTAGGGCACTAAATATGAACCAGCCAAAGAACGCCGAACTGTTATTTTACGACTAGATCTTTGTAGAGAACAGAGGTACATTTTAAGATAGGATTTAATTTAAACTAAACAATAATTAATAAATGCAACGCTTATTTATTGAATGGTCTCGGATTTTGTAAGATTCAGTTGTTAAACAATTTAGCATTTTCTGAAAAAAAAAAGTAAGACAGAAAATTACCGGTTTGCTGAAGAAATGGCGAAGAAACGAAGCGAACCTTAAGAATTCTTGGCAGTTGTGGCTTCTCTCGGGGTTTCCACGTTGTGTTACTTGAGTTGCTTTTCTAACATCAACGAAGTCACCAGCGGCGAGCGTTTTTCACTGTTATGCACCTTAGTGAAGTGACAAAATGTCTACTGACAAATGCAAATGATAAAAGCAGTTTTTTTTGTTGAATTCACTTATTGCTTTTCGGTAGTACTAGCAAGGATAAGTAGATGACACGGTACAAACAAATTCGCGCACAGGAATATTTGAAACACATTTTTAGTGGTCATAAATAGCGATCTGTAGTTTGGCGTTGAAACTTGTTAACATAACTGATTTCAATTTAAATCGACCTTAGTTTGTTCTGTAATTTATTTTTTTCGGAATTAATAGTAGCATAACGTACTTGACGAGGTTTTCAATGGGACCTCGGGTTTTGTTATCTGCAGTGACATCAAAAGTTGCCAGCCTTTTATCGTAAGAGCAATTTCGCAGGAGGATTTGGTAAATAACATCTTCGAGGTCAAATAGGGTGCCGCTGCCTAGAAGAAGAAAGTATGTATATGTATATATTAAACAGCTAGACATATACCTCCCAAGGATTGCAAAAATGCTAAATACCCGGGAACTATTATATTGGAGAAAAAAGGCATGATAGGGAGATCTGGGTTCGAATTCGAAAGGAGCCGCCATTACGCCTAACGCATGGTCGCACTGCTTACACATCACAACAGTGTGCGCCTCAAAACAGAGCATCGTGCCTTTTTGTTTTTGTTAACGCGATAGCGTTTAGGAGCGCGTGACGCAGAAAAACCGGCGTCGGTGTCGACGTCGGCGTTAGTGGAACGGGAAAATTCTGATTGCTCGATAAACAATTAATTAGCCTTGAAGAAAAAAAAACAACCTCGAAGCATATTAGTCGGATCGGGATTGAATTCACGACCTTTCCTATGCAAACCAGACTCGATACCCAATATGCCACGCAGACATTTTTTTGATTGTCTTTATTACATGGAAAGTTAGGTTAAAAATTAAGGCTACAAGATTAAAAGCTGAAAAGATGATTATGTACAAAGTGTTAGACATAAGGTGAAAAGTTGAACGGAATGTCTGCCTAAACGGCAGTCCTATAGCGCTCTTTTACAAACAAACGCCACAGTTCTAAGCAGACTGTAACCTGAAAAGTCAGGAAGTCTTAAACACGCATCGAAGAGTACAAACCATTCAGGTATTGGTGGTTGAGCTTCGTAAACACTTCATACTTTCGAAATATCTCATAGAAAAATAGATTTTCTGGTGCGTAATACGTTAGCGTTCCTATCAATTATCCGGCATTTCCAGATGCTGTGGAGGCCTATCAGCATAAATAAATTATAGGAAATGTTTGCCTCACTAGGTATGTGTAAAAAACGAATACTATGTTCTTTATAAAGTCTGTATCCTTTTTAAGAGGTTGTTGGAAGACATTCGAGACGAAAACGGTATTTTTACAGTAGATGAAGCAGTGCTCTATTGTTTCCGGTGGGTGACACAATCGACAATCAATTGACCATGGTACAAAATCCCACACTCTTGGAGCCACGATGTTATAGAAGCGTTGATGTCTCTAACTGACAGAAAAACGTTGTTAAGTGCTCTGAAATATACACATTCGCTTTGCTCGTTTTAATACATGTTGTCATTTACAGTCACTAAACCGTGTCCGTTGATAGTGGAATAGGAAAGAGACTTTTAATCAGAAATTGTGATAGCCGTTTTCTTGATACTTCAAGTAGGTATTCTAATGAAAAGCGGAATTTTAAAAACATAAAGGTATTAACTACCTCTTTCTAAAAACCTCAGCGTTGTCCGGGAGCAGAATTCGTTGTCGAATCAACAAAGGAGGGCAAGTGATGTGTCAGCTTTTGTTTTAACGATCTTAAGCAGGAAAGGATCGGATAAATTAAAAAAAAAAAAGTCGCGAAACGATTTGGCGGACTAATAAATGTGCCAGACCTAAGCCACCAGCTTGCAACGAAATGAATAAGTAATCGCGTTTCATCCGTTCCCAAGATGAGCTCCAAATAAAGGTCCCAAATGTTCTATGGAAAGCTTGTACCTTTGGACGGTAGCGGTGTCATATCTTTAAGACATTCAGTAGTTCAGATAGTTTAAACAAATCTTGCACACCGCTGCATTTGCGAAGATTGAAATTTATAGTGCCCTCCATGCTAATGATTTTTTGCTTAATCTCAGTTACAACGGAATTTAAATATAGATTATTGAATCCTGTTTGATCTTTACACGTTTTGGCTAAGCGGCCGTATTGGGATGACGGTCGCAGTTTCGAGGGACGGAATATAAGTATGAAAATTTAAAGTATAGAAAACTATTAGTTCTCGTCCTTTCTGCTATCTTCATGTGCGCGTTTGCTGCGTGTCGTGGCGGCGTTTAATTAAAACGAGCTTATTTTTGCGTCGATAGCAGCAGGCTTGCTGGAAGCGGGCCTCGGGAGGGCATCATTGGAAGGACCGTGGCAAGCCGCGGGCCGGCGGGAGACCCCTGATCTAGAGCAACGCCGAAATACATGAAGGGACAGCACTTCCATGACAACTCAGCAAACTGTCCTGGCACGGTTTCGGAAGCGCCTATGCTGAAGCCATTAGATTTTCCTGTGTTCATTTTCCCTCCAGTTGGGTCGCAGTTCTCCTGTTATTTGAAGGCCTTTTTCTACCCTCTTCTCATTCGAACAGAAAAGCGGCACCTGATCAGCACACGTTATTAACTTCACCTCTGCGAAGCAAAGGGTATAACCTCGGATATTATCATTCGTAATAATGCGAAACATTATTACGTTCAAGTTCAAAGACAAAAATTAGTAGTGATAGTGGACAACCTTGCCTTACTAAAGATTGGAAAAGAATAGATACAGAAAGGGAGTTGTTTAAAATTAGCATTGTGCTGCTGTTTTTTTAAAAGAGATGAATGCCCTCGAATAGCATGGCTCCTATGTTTGGACAAGAAAGTATGTTGAATAAGAAAGAATGGCTTTCTCATTCGAACGCTTTGGACAAGTGAAGTTAAACTATTGCCACTTGACCTTGCTCATCGGATACAGTCTATCACAGATCTTGCTATGTGTAAGTTTGAATGTTTATCCCTTGTGTACCACAAGCTTGGGGTTCTCCGATTAGATGATGTATTACGAGGTGTAAGCGTTCCTTTAAAACTTATGCGAATATCTTATAGTCCACATTACAAAGTGATATAGATCGATAAGCTTCAACCTTTTTGAAGCTATTGTGTCTTCTGTTTTAAGAATTAATACAGTGTGGCCACTATAAAAAATTGTCGGTAGTGTCTCTTGTTGCGGCTTTTAGGACCTCAAGTAGTAATAGACTCAACAGATCAAAAAATATTGTGTAGAATTCAGCGCTTAGGACATTAGGTTCAGGTATCTTGTTTGAAGGAAGAAGTTTTCTGACATTTTAAATTTCTTGAAAGGTCAGAAGGCCCTCGACTATTTCTTTTTTGTCATTTGATAACAATGGCAAGAGGTTTGCAAGCTGTTCTATAACTGTATTTTTTGTTTATTTTTCAATTGGTATGTCTTTCCCCAAAAGGTCAGTGTAATAATCAACAAAGGCTGCTGAAATGTTTGACGTATCTATTCGGATAATATCATTATGTTCAATTTCAAATATTCCTTCATTTAAAGCATATCTTCGCACATCTTTCAGGGATCTCCGCCCGGGTGTCTCTCAAAGTAGAAATGTTTAATAGGGCGATCAAATATCTGCGCCTCGATGTTTCTCGGCATCGTATCGCTGGAGTTGTGTTTTAGCCATGTTTATTTATTCTGTGAATGCACCGGGATCGTTACTTTCAAGTTCGTAAACGTTTATAACGTATTTAAAAGAGTCTTCGATTTGTCACCTTTTTTCGAACATGATAGTGCCCGGGCGTTCGATTTCCAATCTGTAATCTCTTTTTGAACATGTCCCATATGCAAGATACGCGTAGTCAAGGCACATGTAAAAATGCAGTCATTCGAAACTGCGTCTTCTTCGCTCTCCGGGACACGCAGAAACACTTGAACGGCTTGAGAACGAGCGGGTCTTATATTTGGCCATCGGGTTCCACTCTTAAAGGCGAAGCTTAAGAGACTTCCTGAAATTTGTGTATGATGCATGAGCACTGTAGCTGCCACGTAAAAAAAAAAAGGAGAACATTTCAGATTGCCGTGTGCATAAGCAGTAACTATACAGGTATCTCAGACCTAACATTGTCTTCTCTCGCTTCTTGAGCTGCCGCGATTGAGAACCCCTCAACCACAAATGGTGGAGTCGCTACTAGGCTCCTCCCATACAATTTGAGCACCATGCCTAACACCAGACATTTCTCCGGGGACGGATCAAGAATTGTAGAGGCCCTGAAATAGTAAGCACCTGCCCCCTCCCAGTTATTCTAAAAAGAAATATATGTGCAAATGGCGTCGAAAATTAGTGTGGTCCAGCAATATCGCGACAGAGTGTCGGTGTTCGACGCTGTTTTCGTGTAGATGGACGTTTTCTTTTCCACTATTTATATCAGAAAGGTAGAGCGTGGTGAAGAAAGTCTGGCAGTTCAGAATAAAAAAAGGGAGCGCACATCAAACCCCGGCGTTCGAACAGATATACAAGTGCAGCTCAAATGCTTCATCACTAACAGCCTTTAGCGCGTAAAGCGTTTCTCACTTTCGTCCTTTCGTAAACGAAAATGTTTCCGCTCAACTTTGAAAAAAGATTGGCCTTTGCACGATATGCACTCGTCCCGAAACTTGCAGCAGAAATAACAGGTGCATACGTGGCGATCCAAATCTCATTATATTAGGTCTCGTATATTAGGCACGTTAGAATAAATGGGCCCCGTTCCCTCGCTGTCGGAGGTGAGGCCCTTAACTCCAACCTATTGATCCAGCACAATATTTCTCCCTAGCCCAGGGACACCGCGACACCGTGCCTGGAAGCGAAAATTCGTCCACTCACCTGGTAGTCGGTTCAGTCAATTCCGCCTAAAAGAGAAGGCCTGCTCGTGACGTCATCATGAGTGGATCCCCAACCCACCTGAAGCGTGCAACACGCTGAAGCTTTACGAGAGTCGACGCAAAGTGGCAGACGCGTCCATCTTGGCGTCGCCGCGTTCAAGCGTTGCGCTCGTTGTGAGACGCAGTGAGACGCGCTGACGGTGACGCTAAGCAAGCTAAGCGTGGGGCCACTTTTGATGACGTCTGCGGAGGAAGATGCAGGCCTTGTCTTCTAGGTGGTATTGACTGGGGGAAACAGAAACAAATGGCATAACAGTAACAAACAATAAAATATGTGTGAAGTGCCTGAAAGGAGCGTACTTACTTTGCTGAACGGTACACTGCAGAGAAAAAAAAATGCTCAAATTAATAATCGATTGCGTGGCTTGGACATCGCGTGCATTTCGAGTTTGACAGAGAAATGTGTTTGCTTCTCACCATAGCACCTCAATCAGGCGAGTTGAGTGACATTGACACATCTGTGTGAAACACACAGATGTGACAATATTTCTCAACTTACCAAATTTGCAAAAATAAATGCTACTTCTTCCTTCTTTAAATATTTCTGCGAACACACAAGGTCATCGCTCTAAAATGTTCTAGTGAACGAAAAGGTGTTTTTTTTTAAATTTTGTAATAGAGTACGAGTTAAGTGGCAACAAGGATTTTATGCAGTAAGATGCCTTAACTGGTGACTCTAGTATATCCATAATTATTTAGTAATTGGCATATAAATTTCACGCAATTTCACACTCACCAGAAAGAGGAGAAGGAGGAGAGAAAACTGAAAACTTTTAGCCATGTTACCTCCTCAATGAGCCGAGGAATGAACACGTGCCCCTTTCCTTTTGCGTAAATGCTTTTCCGTCACTATCTTTTATACAAAAACAGCTTTGAAAAAAAATGCGGGTGCACTCAAAAAAGAAAAAAAAAATTGACGTCAAGAAACTTTTATTTTCAGGAGAAGGTTCGAGCTTTTTTTTCGAAAGGACGAGGTTCAACAGGGGGCATTCACCGGATGCCACATTTGAGTGCCTCGGCCCCGCTGACGTTTACAAAACAACCAGAGCGCCCCCAAGGGTACGGTACTAACGCCGCGCATGCGCGATGGGGTGTAAGCGAAAACGCCACGACCCGGATCAACAAATCATGCAAATCTGATTCGTCGGCTTCGGTGTCAGTCTGCATACACGTTTTCGCGTTGGAAGTGCTGATTCCACGTCTTCCCAGCACTGTCATACCACTCTAGTAGCCTGAACGAAATTAGCCAGGCTCATTACACCGCAAAAATTTTGTCTAAATAGCGTGACGTGCGTCGATTCATTCAGCGTGAACGCCGCAGAATGTACGTTAAAGCCATATTTACAAAATAAGATTCTGCTCGCAATTTTCAGTCGCGACGTCACTCGGGCTGCGAAAGTGCGTACGGTAACTGCGATGCTCGACGTCGATACTAAAGAACGCAAGCAGAATCGATTTCAGTGAATCAGGCGTAACAAGTCGGTGGTTGAAACTGGTAAAATTAATCAACATCTCACTGTATCTACTGTTTAGGCCGAGCCTACTTATCCGAAACCACCTTCAAGCTTAAAAGTAATTTGAGGCATGACTTCTTATCGCAACGTTTGCACTACTGTCACCTGCGGTTTGAACGGGCAGGCGACAGTTTGAACGAGTTTGAAAGAGAATACGATAGCTTGAACAATACCACGGTCGTTTAACCGTGAAGTCGCACTGAACGTGGTCTGCGAGTGGTCCGGACAACTTGACGTTTTTTTGTTTTTTTTCGGGTTCATGTTAGAACAAAACAAATAGATCTAACGACCACAAATAACCGTGGATTTATCCCAAAGTGCTTCGCGCTCGAGCAATCGTGTTCCGACGGTGTCTGGTTTCCCTTTTCACAGCACCTATCCACGCTTTCGGGATAGCCGAGCATACAGAAAACGCGTGGAAAATAGTCTTCAAACCTTTGCCGACTCTTTTGGTACAGCCCCAGTCGCAAGGTTTTGACGAGAATGCCAATTTTAGTATGGTTGCTTCCAATACAACACAGGAATGTTCATCCCGCATGGTAGCTTCCACAGCCCCAGAGCGGAAGTGCGCCCGACACGCTACGCCGCGGTGTAACTTAGCAGAGTTGAGTTGGTGCGTACTCAGAGAGAGCGCACACTTAAAGGCCGACGTACGTAATTGTTTTCTGCAGGGCAGAAAACCGGTTTCCAGTTTCCTTCTTTCCCTCACCTCTTCATATAGCAGCGGGTCTACAGGTGTTAATATGATTGTGTCCATATTTGTCCCGTTTGTAGGGAGTACATACACTTATCTTGACGAGTGTTATAATGATGTTCAGGTTTAATTCAGGATGATGGGTAACATTGTGCCAGAAGTTTTCTGTCGTGGTAAACGTAGATCGAAAGTTTATATGTTCATACTTCTTGAAAGCTCGAACTTTTATGTTGCTCGAAAAGGGGAGACGTATTAGCGTTATAGTCGAAATTGTTTCTCAGGCGAACAGCTTTCGTTTTTGTAGTGGGTGTAGCCATGATAAACTTGCTTTCGCTATCTGATCCCAGGCAAAAAGGCAATAATATACCTCGGTGTATACGAGATAATAGTAAAGTTGATACTTTAGTCCCGGTACTAAAGGTTTTATAGAGTAAGGCATGCCTACGAATATAGAAATTTATGTTTGTATTGTGCTCACACGGTGCGTCTAGTTTATGTGTTTTACAGCGGCAGCTGTCACTAGAGTAACTGCATAGGCTCCGCCTGCGGAGCAGAGTATCAAATTAAATCAAATCATTTATTCGCATCTGCAAGGAGAGTTGCCGGAGCTACGGACAAAAAGCCAATCTTTGCTTGCTTGACGAGGTCCGGGCCACGAGTGCTTGGCTGATGGTGAAAGAAATGCCGGAAACAATATCTGAGTTACAGATATGCAGGAAATACGTTAGCTATATGGTTAACATAACTTAATACATATTATACATAAATTAGATATAGTGGTTTACAATCGAAACAATAAATTTCAAGATTATTCGTGGAGTATTTATTGAGTAATGTGGGTAGGTTATAATAAAGTGACTGTAAGCCATAATTGTTGAATAATGCGACACCCTCCATTCCTCCGAGCAGGGGGTGCAGGATTGGTGTTTACATTTCTGGTGAAATTGAATTTATGACTAAAAAAGAATCGGTTCTGGTGAATAAAAACAAAATGACCTACTCGGGAGGTATTCATAAAATTGAGATATATTGACAATTTTGTATCTTTGAAATAATGATTCAGTGTGGAGTAAACACCGAATGTTTCCAAGAAAGCGTAACACTCCCTTTGGAGGCAATATTATTTTATTTAGATTTGATTTTGTCGTCGTACTCTAAATAAGATCACAATACGTTATTTGAGATTTAAATAACGCAGGCTCTATTTGTAATTTTCTATTTTCGGGAATAATGAAACGACACCGAGCATTATTACCGACGATATTGCATAATTTGCAGGTAATAGGTTTTGTATGTTCATCCCAAGACAAATTATCTGAAAATGTAGCACCCAATGTTTTATGACTTTTCACTAGCTCAACTGGCTTAAAATTAAAATGGAGAGTTTTGTTCAGAGCTGCATGTTTATTGGTTGACCTAAATAATATTGCTTGGGTTTTTGTTTCATTTATATTTAACCCTTTTGACTTTGACCACACAGCAAATCTGAAAAGCATTTATATAAATATTAAAGAGTAAGGGCCCCAATATGGCCACCTTGTGGCACCATATCTGATCGGCTTCAAATATTATAAATGTCCATCAGTGCAGACACACTGCATACCATCTTCTAGATACGAACTCAAAAGTGAAAATGAGGAACCACGAATTCCGCAGTGACATAAGTTGTCAACAAGTATTTTGTGAGTAATACAATCGAAAGCTTTGCTAAAATCTATAAATATTCCTAATGTCAAAAGATTGTTTTCAATGTTATGAACAATAATTTCCTTTTGTAAGAGGAGTGCAGACTCCGTCGACTTTCCCACTCGAAAACCGAACAGAGTCTCAGAAAGTACTGAGTGTTTAACAAAAAAAAAAACAAAAAAAAAAACTATATCAACGACACAAAATAATCTTTTCGAGCACTTTGGAAAGAATAGGCAGGACCGATATAGGTCTATAATTAGATTTATAATTATTTTTACCACCATTATACAGTACTGACGCTTTTGCACGTTTCGTTTTCCTAGGAAGATCTCCGCATGACAAGCATAGATTGAAGATGTGTACAAGATATGGCGTAATAATATCAAGAATATATTTAATCGGTTTATATTGGAGGCCATCAATATCACACGTTTTACTATTGTTTAAGCCCATGAATGTTTTAACCACAATCCCAATGGTGCTCCCAGGGCGGCCATGTTGGATCCAAGGCCGCACTGCGGGTAGCGACCGTCGTTTTTTCAGGAGATTCGGAGGCGCGGACGGCGTGGCTGGGAGGCGGCGTGCGGGGGCGTGCGCAGCAGAGAAGCTATAGTGCTGCGACACGCCGCGCTTCCGCCGTCATCTCGTCATTCGTCTCCTGCTTTTTTCTCTATACCATCGGTAGAACCATAGCCTCTTCTATACTGACAGAGCCTGGCAGATCGTCACGTGACGCGGCCGCCGAAAGTGAAACGGTAGATATGTTTAACGAAAGTGAAACGGTAGAGCGGCAGACAAGAGTCATGTAACGGGCGCCCCGCTGCGGCGAGACGCAGAAACACACTGGTCCCGAGCGATGGAATATCCGCTCGTGCTCCTCGCGTTCCTTGCGTTGCCGCTTCTTTTCTCCTCGGGTTCGAAAACCACGTTTCGGGTCCTCGCCGCTGCAAAGGCTGTGCGCTGAATACCGGACTCCCGAGAAATGCTCCGTGCTACCAGATCCTCGCGGTCTAAATCTGCGACCGGGCACCCAGTAGCTTCGTCATCGAACTGCCCGACTTTTTGAGTATAGAGGAGGCTTGGGTTAGACCCAGTACGGCGCTCGTGACCGCTTCTTCGCCAATACGGAGTTGGCGGCGCAAAGAAAAGGAACGCGATACTCGGTCTCTGCAAGCAGAGCCTATACTGTTTCTCTGGTCGTTACGTGCCCATCCCCTTCGGTTTCGCGACGACGTGAGCGTAAACGAAAGGCTCCCTGGAAAATTTGGCAGAAAAGCCTCCACACCAATTCCGTTTCCCCACTAAATTTAGCGGACAAATTGACCTCATGCGTCCTATTCACTAATTCAGTTTACCCGCTAAATTCAACGGAAAACTTGACGTCACGTGACCTATGTACCAGTTCGGTTTCTCCGCAAAATTTGGCGGAAAAATTGAAGTCACGTAACTTGACACCACGGGACCTCCAGACAAATTCAGGTTCCCCTCTTAATTTAGCGGAAAAATTGACGTAACTTGAGATATGCACCAGGTACGTTTCCCTGCTAAATTTAGCTGCAGTATTTAGCGACGATATGATGATCGTCTTCGTCATATCGTCGATTGAGCAGCACAGCTGCCGCTGTCTAAACTCCATCACGCCTCCCATCGTCCTCTAATTGTTTAAACCGCATTCCGACAAGCTTGTGCTTAATTAAACCATAAACTGCAGACCCTTTCAAATTTGAGTGCGATTCTTGTTGTAATAAAACACTTTACTGAATAAAAACGGAATTCTTTTTTTCAAATTTACTGATAACCCATTTTCTGAGAGCCAGGATAAGATTGGAAATAACTATTTATTCACATTAATTTCTAACTAAGATTGCATGCACTTGTGTCGTA